ATCCATAGTTATTAATGTAGTGAACGATTAATCAACATATATGACGTATTCAGTACTTAGTGTGATTGGCTTTATGATTGAAGGTTACGCCCTAGAGTCTTTTACTGTTTTGTAATTGGTTAGAGTTTTGAAAATGAATAAAGAGAGTTTGAGTTGGTCTTGGCGAATACTCCACGACAGACGCAGTCCGAGAGAGTCCAGGGGCGAGCCTTGAGGCAGTCCAGTCTTGGGCGAGTCTTGGTTCAGCCTTGTGAGAGTCTTGGGGACTTTTCCCCAGGGCGCTGTGTCTTATAGAGTGCTCGATTAACCGACTAAGATGAGAGCTGAAACGTATTTCGTTGTGTGCGTCTTATTTGACTGTAAAGTTAAAGTGACTTTCCCGATCCCGTACCTCAAGGGGACGAGATAGAGAGACGAGACGAGTTTCCCCCCTGACAGTGTGGAGAACCCCGAGAGAAAGAGATTTTACCCCCTGATATCTGTTTCTAGGTATTCCTGTGTTAAATAAATTATTAACCCATGCTTCAATTCACTGCAATTAATTTGTTTTTAACATGCACATGTATTTTCTTATATTGTATAGAACCAATAAAATGCTGTTCACACATCTCTTCACAAATATACCTGGATTGAGAATAGTTTTTACTTTTATGATAGGATTTGCAGCAGGATCAATTTTAACAAATCTGGTGAGTTCAGCCAATACAAATATGTTCTGAGAAAATAATTGAAGACTAATTTGGTACAGCTTGCGTTATGACTACATGTTATATTGCGTTATGACTACACCACACTTGAGCAAACATACCACTTACGAAAATAACGACAAATATGATGATTATTATTTTTATTTATAAAACATACTTATGTTTGGTATTCTTGAATCAATTTGTTTTTTGTCATATTGATACTGTGTTCACACGTGTGCCAAAAGCCGGTTTGAAGGCCAGCTTTATAGTCAAGGGGCGGTGGTCGTCGCGCCGCGTCCTGTTCGATATGAAACTCATAGCGACATATGCAACGCGTGTAAAATACATTGTTTGTTTACACACGCTGCTCGAAGACAACCGCCCTTTAAGCCGGCGTTTCAACACATGTGAACAAGATAAGCCGGCGCCACGCCAATTTAGTGTAAACCGCCCTAAAATTGCAAGTCTCGACCAGCATCCCGTCCTTACAAAATCGCTTTTAGCACATGTGAAAAATAACGCCGCCCTAAAAACACACTCCGAATGTCAGTCTTGCTCTGGAATTCCATTCATTGCGCGTATTTTAAAGAAACATGGCGGCCGATAACAATGCCGGCTCAGTTTAGTATTTATGTACGAATGAACACAGGATCAATTAAAACAACTGATAACGATTATTTACCAAATAGTCAAGCCGGCTCTGTGGCACACGCGTGAAAACGGTTTTAGCCTCGTACATGTACACATGTGTTGATATGGCTCACAGCTGTGAATCGTGTCATCAGTATTTTAGTCATATTCAAATAATTACTGACAGAAACATATCGCCCACATTCTAGGTTCGTACATGTCATAAATTATTATCAATGTTGACACATATTACAGCCTCGCTTGTAAATATGAATGTGGGAATATTCCTCAAATTATTGTGTGTGATATTAACTGTTCCATGTGCGATATGCAGGTGTACAATTATATAGCGTCATGTTAAAGCGTTTCGCAAAAAACAACACGTTCTGCATGTGTCCGAATTTCAGATGAAATGCGATGCAGGTGGGCTTTTGACAAGGATTCAAAATGCAGCTCCAGTGCCGGAAAAGGACACAACACGAATAATGATCAACCAAAACAGTACGCAACCAACACAAATTCTCCCTGGTTCAAACGGAGACAGCAATGAAGAAACAACTAACGATATCACCAACGGCAGTAAAATATTATCCTCGGATTTGCAATTAAACAATGAAGAAACGCAACGAACTGTAAAAGATAACATCGATAAACTTCCGAACACACTGATTGAAAAGAAAAACCGAAACGAAAATGACCAAGCAATAACAGATGACGTTTTGTTTCCGTATAACAAATATAGCAGGTTTGCTATGGAATGGAAAGGTATTGTGGAGGAGTATGAATGGGTGTACAGTAATTTGAAACGCGACAAACACAAAAACACAAAACCTATTGTTCTTGGCAAAGAAAACTTTGGTTTAACTTCAACGGTAAAAAGCAGGTGAGGTTTATTGCTATATCTCTCGTAATCCTGGGTCAACGTGTGTGAGGTTAAGACATGCTAGATTTACGTGCATAATGCCAACACATAACCAATAAATTAATGTCATCGTTTAGGACAGAAAGTGGCATATATGATGAATATAACAGATACGAGTTTTGAATGAATGGAAAAAAACGACTATTTATGTTGTACGTGCAGTACAGAGTCAAAAAGTGCATAGATTTGAGTGATTATAAATAGTGACTATGAACAAGACTTAAGATACAAAACAAGATATATTTTTGAGTAATATAACAGTGTAATATAATACAGTCTCTCAGCTGCTTGTTGATAGAGTTGTGTGTGCGTTACCACGTACGTATTTAAGGTAGAGATGCAGGTTCGTGGGCACTTGGGAGTGATTTTTTTTTTTTTGCTTTTTATTATCCAAACAGTCTTGGCTATAGATTGTTAAAATTTTGTAGAATTGTGAATAGTGGAACATTCTAAAAAAACGATTTTAAAATATAGAAAACAGGTACAAATATTCTCTCTTTTGAATGCTTAACAAGATTTAGCAAGGCTGTACATAAATAATAAAAAAGAAACATGGTGAAAAAAAGAAATGACGGGATCTCCATATTATGCACTATATTTAACTTTTAACAAAATGATAATACATTCAAATTTGAAACTGTTACAGCCATTTTAATTATGAGCATTAACAAACTTCTTAATGAGTGAATTGTAATGCAAATTAGCAATTATCTCAGCTTCTTTTTAGTGCACATCCCAGAACTTTAAAAAAAAGCTCCTACACGCTTTGACCTTTTCTCTTCAAAACGCCGTCGTACAGACAACTAGCCTGGGTGTTAATTTATGCATAAACTTGAAGTAGTGAAATTTGAGCTGCTGCCCTACAAAATTGACAACTAGTAGACAGTTTTCAAGACGCCACTTTCTTCATAGTAAACAGATGTACCCATAAACCAATTTTGACAGGAAATAGAAGCATGGTTTAGAAGTAAATTTTTTTTTAATCACTTTTGACCAAAAAAGCACATTTTTGTGCATATTTCAATCTACAGTGTTCTACAAAATTTTAAAATTCATACAATAAGCTTTCCGAAAATATATACTTTTGTGGACAAGGGAGGTCATCTTGGTTTCCTAATTCCTAATTAACTAATTAATATACCTGTCAGGTAAACTGCATCTCTACCTTAAGTGCATGTATTCGGTAGAGCTGAATCTAAATGAAGAACATCTACACGTGTTGGCTCACTAATGATAATAATTATCAAGTACTGATCAAATCAGTGCAAGCTAGTCTTTAATGTGTAACATGTTTTTATTTTATTTGTTGATTTCTAGAGTGTCATTTTATAATAATAACAACAAATTTAAAAAAGGAGACAAGATACACATTGCGGTAGAAACGTACGATAAATATGGTAATGCAAGACATAAAGGTGGCGACTTTCTTCAGGCAATCATGTCAAACAACAAACTTGTTAAAAGCACAGCGGGACGTGTATTTGACTATGGGAATGGGACGTATTCTGTGTACTTCTATGCTGCATGGGCTGGAGAAGCAAATATTGTCGTTCTTATGCCATTTACACGAGAGTTAATACTGTATATAAACAAAGTAGTAAGACAAAAAGATCGGCGTGCAGCATCGGATGGTGATTTTGGAAATGGAATCCAGACAGAAAGAGGTATTTGCTCCTTACTTCATGATGGTCCATGGGAAAATATGTGTACTTATGAAAATAAGAACTCCCTTGGTGAGACAGTGTTGATTTGTGACAAACCTCATAATCCATTGTCGTGTAAAGATCTCGTGAATGTTACTACGGGTATCAAACAGTTGAATAAGATAGCATCTGAAGAGATACTTGGTGCCAGCGATTTATTCAAAGAGTAAGTATGCAAATAGGGTTGCTATTTATAATAATTTAATAAGACGTATTTATCATAATTATTTCTATGTTTTGTTTGTTTTCGTTAATCTTAAAGTTCAGTATTTTTTGCTGGAAAATGGCTGCAGTAACCAACTAACCACTTAAAGATTACAGTGCAATAAAGTGTACTTGGGCATATTATCATGCTATGACGTCACTGACCACAGTTCATTTTTTGATAGCTTAAACTAATAAATTACATGTAATATGTTTTACTACAGTAAACAAGACAACAAGTTTGCCGCCACGCCATTGAAGATCAACATACAGGGTGTGTATACAAATTGAATACTTTCATATAATTCTCATCCGTATCCCAAGTATGACATCATTGAATGACTCCCGGTATAGTAAATGTAACGAAATAGAAGGAAACTTTTAGCAAGTCATGACTTCAAGATATAAATATTTTATTTGATATTTTACTAAAAAAAACATCAAAAAGTAAAAAATCACAAAGTGAAAATAATATATATCTATTATATGCATAGACCGAGTTTCTGATATGGTTAAACAAAAACCCAGCGAAAACCGATGGGGCTATTTAATAGGAATTTATATAATAAAAATGCTCAATTTAAAGTGCAATTGGTGTTCATAATGAAGACAGGACAAATGAAAATGAAATACACATACAATACACATATTTTAATACCTCCCAAAATAATTACAAGAAACAAAGAACAGAAAAATACAATGCATGAATTCACTAAAATAGGGGATTGGCTAGGTAAGTGTGCATTAATAACTGTATTAATAACAGTTCCAGGATGTGGAAATTGATGACAGTCAATGGCTTCTGCAACACGACGATGAAGAGATACAGTAGTCTTGCTTGTTATTCTGGAGGGCACCGCTGATAGCAGGAGATCGCAGAGCAGTTCATACAAGTCTCACAGAATGATGATTGAAGCCTGTATAACTTGTCTCACAATATCGCAGCAGCAAAATACGTAGTACTTCAAATCGTGGACCACAACTGTCTAGCCTAATTATAGATATAAATGGCTCAAATTCAGTTACACCACCTGGCTTTCCACATGAGCCAATCAAAATGTGGTCTTGCTAGCAGCTGTCTCACGTAGGGAAGTCAGTAGATCGTAAAAATCTTTTGTTATGTAAATCACAAGCACACCTGGTAGATTCTAATCCTCCTTCAAGAGTTGTAAACAAGTATGACCTGCCAATAACGTTTATGACAGTTATCACACGGCAATGCACACATGTTCAGCTTCTTCCCATGATTACATGCACACTTCTATTTGAAGGGTTTGAGGTAATTTGAAAAAAAAACACATAGAATAGACGATGCTGACAATGTGATAAAACTTTACATGCGCTGTCAAGCTAGGATGCTCCCGTCGCACGACCTCGGGCTGCAAAAGTCGTAGACAGCCCATAAAGGCGATATTATTGTGTATGTCAGAGATGTAGATGAGGAGTTGAAGCGTCTGGAAATAGTATTGGGAAGACTGTAAGCAGCTGGTTTGAAACTGCCCTGTTTAGAACCAGTGTAATGTATTTGGGTCATATAGTTTCCAAAGATGCAGTAGCT